GCCATTTGTAAGGATGGTTCTCCTAGCCCCATCGCTTGAGTTCCTTAAGGCATAAGAAGGAAAACTTGGGACCCAAGATATGTTGGTCTTGAAGCCCTCTGACTTTCACCCCAGTGGTGCAAGGCTTGCTGAATTTGATTTCTCTTTGGCCACTCTGAAAGAGATGCCTCCTTTGGAAGTTGATCTTTGTGACATTGTAGTTCATCATCCTGTGTGGAGCCTTTTAGAACGTATCCTTAAAATTATTATTGAGCTTAAAGTGGAATTTAGTGTACAGAGGTTTATTTTACCTGTAACTTTTCATAAGACAAGTCCTTCTTAAAAAGACATACCTGCCATGACTAATAGAGCCCAATTAGACATTGCAGAAAGAAACAGCTGGTGCCAAAGAAGAGGAAATTAATTATAACAAGGACAGCACATCATAAGATGAAGTGTGTGCTAAGAAGCTTTGTTAAATGCTGTCTGGATAAAATGTCTCTGGGCAGCATCCCAGCCCAACGTAAACTTTTGTCGTAAACCCAAAGCCTCATTGCCACCGAGTTCATGCCTAGCAACCTTAAGGATAGGGCACAGCCGCCTCTGCGTTTCTGAGACCGTAACTCTCAACAGGCAGAGAAAGCCCGTCTTTCTCCCACGGAGTGGGTGGTGACTTTGAACTGCTAACTCTGAGGATCACAGCCCAGTGCGTAACCACCACGCCACCAGGGCTCCCTGGCCATCGAGTGCTGCTCTGCTAGAAATAGCACGCGTGGATGACGAGTCAGCAGACACTCTCCCTCTCACAGTTTTGGAGCGTAGGAGTCTGAGGTCTTTGCTTCTCTTCAGCCTCTGTCCTTGGCAGAGTGGCATGTGTCTTGGCAGCAATCTTCCCCTGAGTTTAGGAAGCTCCCCGAGAGTGGCCCCGGGGTCCAAAGGACACACTCTATTCCTCTATTTGGTGCTTCTTTCTTGATGGCAGTGGGTCTCTCTCTCTTTGCCCACTTTTGCGCTTTCTATCCTCTGTAAGATAAAAGCTGATGTGGGCCACATCCCAGGGCAACGCTGTACCTCACATTAGGGTTGGACCTGGTGAAGGGTGTTATGTCACACCTGAATCTCCTTCCAACTGCCTGGCTGATCACATCAGGTCCCCTCTTGGGGGATGATTACCCCTTGTGGAGCTGCCAAAGCAAAATCACGGCCCAGCCATGCTGACACATTCGGGCATTGGCCCAATTCAATCCGTGGTGCGCGCTGTCTGCCTTTAAAGGCTCAGCTGCTAACTGGAGGTTAGTGGTTTGAAACCACCAGGGAACTCTGGGGGAGGCAGGCCTGGCAATCCACGTCCTTAAAGACTGCAGCCAGGAAACCCTCGCAGACATTTCCACGCTGCTCCAGGGGCTTGCTCTGAGTTGGAAGGACTCGATGGCCCCTAGCAACAACATCTACTTATTTCAGAGTCTGCTCACCCAGGCATGCTCATTTAAATATGGAACAACATTAGTAAGGATGGAGTAGAAGGGACTGGAGTTTCTTTGAGGACTGTGTTCCAGCTTTAACCCACAGCGCCTCCAAGTGACCTGTAGGGCAGAGGAGACCGCCCTAGGATTTCTGCAGCTGTACCCCTGACTCGCTGCCTCAAATTCACACCAGCTGCTCTGCTTCTCCCCTTTTCTCTGGCTGAATTTTCCTGTTTCAGGCACACAGTTGATTCCTGTTTTGGAGACACTGCATTTATTTATATTTAAGGAGACACCCCCACCCCCGCCGAGTTATATTGTCCCAAATAATCTTTGCCTTCCCTTTGACTGAGAATTTGATTGTTGAGTACTTAAAAAAACAGAAAAATTAAACACATTTTTGGTGTGTTTCTAGTATAGTCAGTGAATGTGTTTGCCCACAGCTCCCTGAAGACTTCAGGCAAGTGGGGTGTTGTGGTGTGATGATGTAATACACTGGGGTTTAAGAGGGGGTACCCCCCACAATGGAATTCCTTTCTCCAGAAAAAAGCTATGTAGGTTTTGTTTTGTTTTTTTCAACCAAACATCTTATCACCTTCAAAGTACTCTCGATTATACTTAATATATTTGTCAAATCCACGATTCCGTCTTGGAAACATTTTTCACATTCATCTGTGTGGATGGTTGACAGCAACTCCCTCGTTTTTTTCTTCACCTCTTCTAAGCCGACAGATCACTGTCCTTTCATGTCCTTCTTCATTTGGGGAAACAAAAAGAAGTCACACGGAGCAAGGTCAAGTGAGTAAGGTGCATGGGGCAAGAGAGAAGCTTGCTGTTTTTGCCAAAAACTGGTGCACTGGAATGATGCATTGTTGTGGTCGCAAAACCAGTGCCCTGTCTGCCACAAATCAGGCCTGTTTTGTCACACAGTGTTATGAAACCTGTTCAGAACCTGTGACTAGGAAGCTTGATTAACAGTCTGACTTGGTGTAATGAACTCCAAATGCACTGAGTGGACATTTTTGTCCCTTCAGGAAGTTGACAGGTATCCAGAATGAGGTTTGTCATCAATTGACACTTCACCATTTTTGCAGAGAGACAACGTGCATACACTTGAGTTTATCCCACAGTGCTGCCCTTACGAGCTGTGCTCATCATCACAGCAGTTTCTGTGGTATTTTTCCTGAGCAGGAAAACAAAACTTCACATCTACAGGGTGTTCTCTCAAATCGGCCATCACAAAAAACGAGGTTTGAGCAAAACTGCTTTCACAAAAATATTCACCGTGACCAGAGAGAACCTTCCCAGGCAATGCCACTGTGTGCACTCACTCAGAGCGAGTTGCTTAATGCTTGCTTAATGGGGAAAAAATTGTACTACAAAAGCTCCGCTCTGCCCAGAGCAATTCTGTTTTTTGGGGGGGTACCCCCTCATATGTTGATTTTATCTTTTCGAGTATAGGCATTTTATAGCATTTGTGTAATGTGGCATTTAGCAGTTGTGGGAAGCAGCACTGGAGGGCCATATCTGACCTTCTCTGGTTTCCTTGTTGCCATGAGACAGGCAGGGGGCCAGACAAGCCTCCGTGGTCCAGGCTTCTTTACCTATTCTGGCACCAAACATTTCTCCCATACCACAGTACATTGATGCTGGGTTTGATGATTCATGCCAACGGCCACACAGAACCCACAGACAACACTCACAGTTAAGGGGCTTTCTAAGGGAAGTCAGTAGGTTACCACAGGTCGGGATCAGCAAACAGAAAGGGTTCATCATTGATCTCCTCTGCCAGCAGCCAAATCTCTCTCCGCCTCTCAGCCACGCGCTAGCCAAGCGTTTGCCGCAGCCCCTGTGCAGCGATGTGCACGTTGTCCCTGAACAGCCCTTTGCTTTGCCTAGTTGTCCAGTCTGGACACGCCCCTGCCAGCATTCCCTTTGCAGGTCCTCTCTGTCCCCATGGCTCATCCGGAGTGCCACCTTCTGGGGCGCCTTCCCAGGTGCCCTCAATCTGTAGTAACATTTTCTTTCTCTGGGAAACCATAGCCCCTGTCCCCGACTTGATAGTGTTTCTTTTTAAATGTGTCCGCACCCTTTTATCAGGAAGTCAGACAGTCTCCATATGGTTTTCATTGAGGATTGTACATGGGTCTCAAAATTACCCAGAATAGTACTTTTCTTTATAAATTAATCGATTCCTCTGTTATTGTCAAATATTCAAAAATCTTACTGCTCTGAGCCAAAGCCGTCCCTGGTTTTTCTTGGCCCCTCTGCTAAGGTCCAGCCCCAGGCCTGGGCTGCAGGACGCCAGGCAGCTGGGCCTGACATCACCACTCTCTTACCCTACTGGACCAGGTCCTCCCCTTAGCCAAAAGACCCACCTTTTGAGACACCACAAATGCCTTCCATTTCCTGTGTCCATGACAACATACATGCTATCTTTTCTGCTCTGACGACCGGTTTTCTCCTTTCTCAATCAGCTGCCCCACCTCAGTGAACTCCTACTCCTCTAGTCTTTCTAGATCATTGCCCCAAGCTCTGTTCCCTTTAGCCTCTAGGGATCCTATATATGCCAGCTTCCTCTGAGGCATGCCCGAGACCCAGAGTTGTGCCTGGTGGCCCACTTTGGAAAAACAGTCATTGAAACCCCTGTGGTGAATAGTGTGCAAAGGCCTAGAATTAGAATCCCAACTTCATCTTACATGCGGTCAGGAGAGACCAGTCCTTGGAAAAGGACACCGTGCTTGGTCAAGCGGAGCAACAAAGAGGAAGGCCCTCACCAAGGTGGATTGACACTGCGGTTGCAACAATGGGCTGAGGCGCAGCACCCTTCTGTCGTGCATGGGCGCTGTGGGCTGGGACGGACCCAGTGGCACCTGAGAGCAGGATCAGCAGCAGCCTGGTGCACAGCTCTGCTCCGACTGACACGTGGGGTGGACCCCAAAGCATCTGAGCTCTTTTGTACTGTGTGGCAGACACTACGTGGCTTCATGGCGTCCTCATGACCTAGAAGGTGGCACTGTTGCCCACCGCCCTGAACTGGTCTGATCTGACTCCTCTGTGGGCGTGAGACCCGTGGCCGGGGTTTCTAGAGGTCCCCACTCACCACCCTCCTTCTCTGCAGGAAAAATGCGTATGCCCCTCCCAGGGTGTGAGTGAGGTGGTGCTTGGGGGGGGGGGGTAGAACAACAACAAAACTGGTTTAAACCTTTTCCCAAAGATATTGTTGCCAATCGTTGCCAATCGCTTAACTGTTTAGCATGAAAACTGGATCACTTCACTCTGCAGCATGAATATTTGGCAGAACGATTCTCAGATTAGTCCGTTTGGGGATTTTACGTGTGTGCTCTTTTCCTTCAACCACAGACAACACGTGCACGTTCTCCCGTCAGATTATAAACGTCTCGAATGCTGGAACGCCTTCTACGCTGTGAAGTCTCTAAGTGCTTATAAAGTGGTTAAGAAGCCCTTTCCACATAGAACAGTTTGATCAAGATTAGTTAATTGGTGGGCTTGGGTATTAACTTTTGTCTCACCTTTTTCTTTCTTTGTATTTTTCAGGAACTCATTTGCCAAAAGAATACTGTAAGTATTGTCCTTGCCAAACATCTCTTAATCTATGTTTTTCACCAACTAATCCTAGGC